AAAAAAAAATTCCATTAAATTCGGCGAGTGATGGGAAGATAAATTTATTAGACACTTTATCACGACGAATTTATTATACGAAAATTGAATGTGCGACTGCGTTGTATCATAGTTGCGTGAGATATTGGTGTGGTAATATATAAAAGATATGTTGATGTACTGTAAAACAGTGATGTTAATCTTATTAGAGTTCGGGCTTCACTTTAGGATCCCCTTGATCGATGATCGAGCAACTATTTTGTTAACGTGGATAGAATTGTTTGTCGTTTAATGTGTATGATAAAAAATTAAAAAATTAAATCAAGGATGACGAATTGTACAATTGAAAATTTTGCTTTAAAAAATTATGCTGGTTTGATCAATCGTCAATATTAATTAAATCAATTATTAATTTTTTATATGATGTTTTATTATCTTATTAACGAGGATTAGTTGATTTGCATGCGTTTTTCAAAAATAAATGAATTCTTACCAGGATTCTACAATGAATCGGTAGTCAGAAGTCTTGAGCCCAGTTCCACAATTCATAATTAATTCTTAATCAAGGTTCAACTTATTCTTCATCTCTTTCCAATTCTAGAATTCGCTTGTACATTAATAATAAAAAATCTTTTACATCATAATATAAATATTTTTATACAAAAAATATTTAAATTTTTAATAGCTATATATTGTGCATATTTATATTACGAATTTGCATAAGAAATTTAGAATTTTTTAAAAAGCATATCTTTTCAGTGTAAAAAGTCATACCAGAAATAGTTATTACTTGTTGAGAATCAAAATGTTGATCAAAATATGGTGTTTAGTACTATTTATTGCTTAACATATGAAAAAAAAGAAGATGATATTAGAGACGATGAATTGTACAAAAATCTTGTATCAAACGATTCTGTCAATTCAATTGCTGATTAACTTAGGCTCACTTCTACCAATGTAAATTAACTTTAATCTAATTCTTAGAGCTAGAAAAAGATGAAGAGTAAATTGAACCGAGATTAAAGTTAATCTACATTGGTAGAAACGAGCTTTAGGCTAATTTTTCATTTTCTAATTAACTGTAGTTAAGCTTAACTTGATATTTAATACTCAATGGGTTTTGATCTATGATTATATCATGAGTGAAGCCCATTGGAGCGAAACTTCAGATTCAGCTTAACCACAAGTTAACAAGATAATGAAAAATTGGATCTTAATCAAAATTAAGTTTAGTCGAAGTTACAAAAGAATCAAGAGGCACTTGCAAAATTAAATTCTTATAATTTTTATAGAAACATAAATCGGCTTGTCTTGATTCACTTGTTTCTAGCAAAGGATATCTGACTCTTCCCGTACGTTGATTGAGATCTTCGTCTTGCATCTGAGAACCATGATTTATTTTAATCCTATTGAATGTCTCTCCCCCCCCCCCTCCTCTCCCTTCCTCTCTGTTTTTCTCCCTTTTTTGATGTAGCATATTCTAACAGATATCAGTACAAATCTACAACCTGAATAAGAAAACGAGAGATACACATCTCTCGGATGAACAAAAAGAATTACGATATCGGCGAGACACGTATTTTTGGCAATACACAGATTTAAAGGAATTATCAAGTAGCGCATAGTAATTATAGAGAGAACCAAGGAAGTGAATTTCGTTTAAATGCATTATTTTTGACAACAGAAAGTTTATACGCTAAAAAGGATTAATAATGATAATACGAAAAAAATATAAGAATATAATATATATATATAGTAACGACTGTATACGTAATAATTCGTAGGTCGGTCGTTCGTTATCGCTTCTTATGCTATTTTACCATAAGTTATGTCTTATAAAAATAAACATTGTAAATCAATAAAAATTGAATCCGTTTTATTTTGTGTTGTGCGGTTATTGCGTTCTATTATACGTTGCATGGTGATTCACTGGAACAAAAATGAATAGCATTTGAGTATCTCGATATTCGAATCGCAAGTCTTTCTCTCACGCTGCACGGATGATTGCCAGCAGTGAAGGTAAATACATTAAATAAAATTATCGCATATACCAAAATTTACATAATTTCAAGTAAGCATGACATCATGAAAAGTGGTCGTATTTAAAATTTTTTCTTTTCATTCTTTGAAAAGAATAAAGTTTGTAAAAGATTTTAATAAATTTAAATTCATCTTTACTTTCGCTTAGTATATTTTCTAAAGTAAGGACTAGTCTAGGAAAACTAGAGTTTAAAAGGGAAAAAATTGCTGCAAAGCTGAATCTTTGCATAGATCTTTGCATATCTATAATGTTCTTTTTAACATATTAAAACGTGTGGCCGACTGCGTCACTTCCATCTTGAAAAAAAGGCGCATAAGATCGGTTTTTTGCAACGTCTCAGAAACTATTCGTTGTACGGAAATTAATGTTCAGTTCGAAAATAAAGTTGATAAAATTTCATTTCCGCAATTTCATTTTTTAATAAAGTACGACTTACGAAGCTTGTACGATCAAGTTTTCGAGATAAATTTTTTAAAGGATCTCTTATTTTCAAATATTATGTAAATTTGTTCTGTGTTTGCAAATATTTCAAATTTGGCTATACCTACGTACAAAACACATGATAAAAATCGAAAAAGTATTTAATTATCTACAAAATAATGTTTTATTGAATGTTATATGACCGATAATTCCGAAGATATTTTTTTTAAAGGCCAGCTATACATACACACATCTATCGTAATGCTACGATCATAAGCATGATCGTAAGAGTGAAATCATAAAAGCAACCAATCAGCATTATTCCGAATAGCGCTAATTGGCTGTTTCAATGACGCATTTTCTATTCCGCAGTCGTTTTCCGCACCATGTGATTTCACCCTAAGGGTCATTCCATATAACTTGTATAGCCGCATAAACATATGCATAAAAAAAATCATCCAATTATGGCTGTGGTCAAAGTCTCGCTACAAAAGCTTTGATGGACCAATTAGAAGAAAGAATTTTACAAACTGGCCAATTAAAAAACGCTTCAAAGCATTTGCAGTATCGCATTATACTCTATATTTACATTTGTCTTTATGACAGAAATGTGATTGGATAATTTTCTTTATGCATATGGTTAGTGACTATGCAAGTTGTGTGGAATAGTTCTAATGATCGCAGCACAGACTCTTGCATAACGCATAATGCATAGTGCCTAAGAGAATCAACCAATCGAAATTCTTCTTTTCCATGGAATGGTTGGAATGAAAAGATTCTGATTAGTTGATTCGCTTATATGCACTATGCGTTATGCAAAAGTCTATGCTGCGCCCCTAAGGAAAGAGGCTATCATAAGCTGCGTTACGATCTTATGTAGACATTGACTGCGTTTAATAGAACGTTTATTTTGCAACTGTTGGAAGTTTTCTTCGCGCTGATTGGATTATACTTTTAGATCAAGAGGAATGGTCCAATCTCAGAGAATCATAAAATGATTGCAAAACTGTGTGTTCTGCTGAACGTCCATTGTCTACATAAGATCGTAACGCAGCTATTAGCGAAATAGAATATTAGGACCAAATAACGTAAGTATCTCTTTTTTATTATAGAGATAATAAAAAAAACCGAAGATGATAAATTCAGCAGCTATCAATTGAAATGCTCGCGGATTTCACCTAACCATTCTCAATGAGCGAGTTCAAGACGGCAAAGCGACTAGGCATGCTTAGGCCTTACGCACAATAGAAGGAATAAAAAATTAGGAATAAGGAATAAACAATTTCAACCTATCAGAAATCGGATATATCGAAATACACGATTTCTGATCGATTGAAATCGTTTATTCTTTATTCCTAATTCCTTATTCCTAATTCCTAATTCCTTCTATTGTGCGCAGAGCCTTACCGAGAAATTGAATATGATTGGTTGGATCTATAAGTAACAATCAATTATGCTCATTTGCTCGGTGAGCAGGCTAACCACTTTGTCAACTTGAACACGTTCATTGTCTATCATGTCGCCAAACAAACATCATAATCATTAGGACCCGAATACTACATTGGGTGCTTTCCATTTGATGACACAAGTCGACACAAGTGTCATTCTATCCTTCTTGATATTCAAAGAGTGACAAAGATAGATTGTGTCGCCAAATGGAAAGCTCTCCATAGGTCGCATATCGCATATCAAACGCATGCGCATTGGATTGTCGGCTGTCGAATGAAATTGTCGCGAATCGGTATCGAAATAAAAGATGGTCAACTCCCATCTTTTCGATTCTTACGACGAAACGAATGGAATATTCCTTATTTTATGAATACATCTATATAAAATAGTTTAATTAAATAGTATAATTAAATAAAATAGTTCCATTAAATTGTTGCTCTGACATTCTTGTAAGTTTGAAAAATTCTTTGTAATTATTTATTTGAAAATATGTAAATACTATATGATGAGCACCAAAATTTTGTCTTATATTTGTAATAATATTTTACCCACCATCTTTTTATAATTCTTTTTTTTATGTTTTCTTAAAAGTAATCTCATTCTTATAATTTTCGTACAAATTAATAATAAATTTGAACAACTCAATGTTTCAATATTTATTGTTCCGACTTACGACACAATTGTAGACTGACAAGTCGTATTCATACTCAACATACAACACGCGATAAGCGACATTCAACTCCGACATATTGGCGACCTATTGGCTGCGTTCAGCAGAATATAACAGTTTTACAACCGTTTTATAATTCTCTGAGATAAGATCATTCCTATTGATCTAAAAGCATAGCCCAATCAGTGCGAAGAAAATTTCCAACAGTTGCAAAATAAACGTTCTGCTGAACGCAGCCATTGTAGAACGAATCTAAGGTCTCGTTTATAATCAAATCGGCTGACGCTTGTCGGATGTCGTTAATCATAAAAGATGGGACCTGACCAATTCAAACGACGCCCGGCAGCCAATACGAAAAATAAAGGTTATACGCACGCACACAATATACAACACATCTCCCGACTGATTGTAGACCAGACCTTAAGCCTTGTTTATACAGTCGCACAAGCTGTGTATAATTCCATCATCGTGATCGGACGTGTTATTGTATCATAATTTTTGAAAAGTGAGACCGGCTTCAAACGTGCAACTGAATTTGTATTACTATTTTAGACTTTCGTATTCTTCATATTGTTTTTTGTTACTCACATAAGTGCAGATACTCAATGACTCAGTTCTAACCTGCTGGTTGCGGAGCCAATAAAAAGAAGAAGAAGAGAGGAGATTGGTCACGTGTTTATATTGTTACAGTCGTTGCGTTTGTGTAACGCCATGTAACGCTTTTGAAATATAGAGAGAAAACACGGATATTTTCACGAAAATTACGGTTTATAAGAATTTTTAAAGTTAAGAAAAGTGCCCGCGACGTTACTTAGCGACAATGTCAATCGGAGTTCCTATTAAAGTGCTTCACGAGGCTGAGGGCCATATCATAACCTGTGAGACGAATACCGGCGAGGTGTATCGGGGCAAATTGATAGAAGCCGAGGATAATATGAATTGTCAAATGCAAAATATTACAGTGACGTATCGAGATGGCCAAGTGGGACAGCTGGAGAATGTATATATTCGCGGCTCGAAAATTAGGTTTCTCATATTACCAGATATGTTGAAAAACGCACCGATGTTCAAACGACCTGGTGGCAAAGGATCGGGCACAGCCGGTAGAGGAAAGTCCGCAATATTACGAGCTCAAGGTTTGTATTCCTACAAACATTGTTCGAATTAATAGATGAATTTAAGGTGATGGCCCTACATGATTAAATAATAATGATCAGTAATATTGAATTAGTATTACTGATAGTATGCATCAATATTTTCAGTATTCTTACAATCTTACATGATCAGTATTATTGACAATATATTTCTCTTTAGTTTTGTATACATTATTTATTGCATTCTGACATACTGTGACATGGATTTTAATACAGCAATACTGATGCTCGAGAATCGGAATTTAGATCACTTCTCAGTCTTCTATGTCAATTCATCAATATTATACACATAATCAATAATATTGTTGGTATTTGTTAATGTTGACAGTTTTATTGACCGTGCAGAATATTCACTTTTATACTATATTCTGAAAAACATAGATATTTGTAAAAGAAAGCAGAAGAAGGTTTGTTTCTATCAATGCAGATTAATTTTAATCGATTCGAGTTTCTCTTCATCTTTTTCTAAATTCATCTTCATCTTTTAAAATTACAATAAAGTGAAGAAGTACATTGAATCGAGATTAAAGTTACTTTATATTAGTAGAAACTTGGGTATTCTGATATATGCTGCTAATATTGAAAATCTGTAATATACGTGAAGCCTATTTTACAATTGTGTTAATCCTGTGTCAAAAATTGAGATTGAATTGGAATCAATCAATCAAAAGAAAGAGAACTCAATTTCTAGTCTGATAAATATAATATTTATTAATTTTTTCAATTAGAGCTACTTACAACAACTTACTATGCTTACACAATTGTAGAATGGACTTAACTTTTTTTTAAACAAATCTTATTAGAGTAATATATGCGTAAACAATTTAAATGACTTACCATCATGGTACATGAAGCATTGCACTGAAGCTTTGTTAAACATGTTAAAACTTAAAAAGTACAAATGTTAAAATCAAATATAAAGATCACACATTTTTAAAACACGTCCATGTACAACGACGATATGAACTATTCTCGAAGTAAGAGGTCACACATTACAGTAAACGTTAAGGCAAATTTGCAATTAAACAAAGATGAAATTTTTGAACAAAAGATTGATTTCGGAAATGACATTCATACACATGCAAAAGAATGGCCTTAATTTACTTTCAAATACAGAAGGACTGAATCATACCTATGCAACGATGCTTGAGAATTTCTCTTGACTTACGTAGTAACTTGTTTAAATTTGTAGCTTATTAATTTAATTTGATAAAAGTTTTATTAATTGACGAAAATAATTTTAACAAAATATGTTTTGTATTGAATTTTTTCTTTTTTTTCTTTTTATTATGTAATTCTTTATTTTACAATTCTAATAATTTTGACAGTGTTTAATTATTATATAATAATTTATTGCGGTTTTTATATGCGATTTAACTTAATAACAATATACACGTTTTGTTCTTCATAATTGCAAATTTGCCTTAACGTTTACTGTATGACCTCTTACTTCGAGAATAGTTCATATCTGAGTAACACGTCGTCGTACACGGACGTGTGTTCTAAAAATGATATTTATATTTGATTTTAACATTTCTACTTTTTAAGTTTTAACATGTTCAACAAAACTTCAGTATAATGTTTCATGTTCCGTGATGATAAGTCATTTAAATTGTTTACGCATATATTACTCTAATAAGATTTGTTTTTTCAAAAAAATGTCAGATTAACAACGCTGCATCTTTGTCAATTTGCGAGTGATTTAAACATTATGGACATGTGAGCTAATTATACTTGTATCATTCTTGCTGAAGAGGATTCCAAAGAGAGTCGAAACATTCAAAATAAAGAAGACATCAATCTAACATCTGATTATTGATTGTTCACTAAATAATTGCGCCGTTTATCGTTGCTGACTATCATTAGCCTACTATATTTATCTTTTTATATTGTTTAAAATTCGAGAGTCCTAATATAATTATTGTTATTGAATATTAATGGTTTTATGTACAATATTTAATAATATAAGATATTTAAGCATGTGTATACAAAATAAATATTTCTTGTTAGTTTAAATCCTTTTTAAGATAAAATTCGCGTTTGTTACACTTATACACATTTGACAATTCTATATAATAAAATGTTTCCAGCTCGTGGCAGAGGGAGAGGACAAAATCAAAGAGGCAAAGGTACTGGGTCAGCACCTTGGCTGAATCAACAGAATCAACCAGGTGGATCTCAACCTGGAAGAGGCAGGGGATAAATCTTGTGATAATAAACTTTATTTAGATTAACAAGTGCAAAATTTCATTCCTGTATTTTTACATCATTTCTAACAGTATATTTCTGCATTCAAAATTGTAATCTATATTTTCAATGAGTATGTGAAATTTATTATTAATCACATACACATTCGATAAATATATGAAGCGTTTTGTTAAATGTGTAATCATAAGGTTTATCAAGTTTTTTTATGTGTATTTCTTTCTTCAGCTTCGAGTAAGCGAATGCTCTGTATTAGTTATCCCGTATTAAGCTACCAAATATATTTCACGTGTCGCCGCCGAAAATACTCCAGCCGCGAACGATTTTCTCCTCGGACACGTCAGCGTTGCAGCTGAAAGTTTCCAGAAAATTTTTGACTTAACGACTTAACGATACTTAGAAATTAAGGCAATCGAAAAAGACTATACTTTCGATATAATCATCAATGGATAATTTAGGCACGATTTCTCCGCGATCTTTATGGGACGACTTGTATGCGCCGATTTCACATAGACAATATATATACATACATATAAATACATATATATACACACACACACACACACACACACACACACACACACACATATATATTTTATCTTGTATCAAGATATTATTGTTTGTCGATGAATCTGTTCTTTTTCCTTTTTGGCGCATCTTTTTAAGAACGCTGATGAGAGAAATCAGAATCGTGTATAGAAAAAAACCATGTTAATACATAACATATATACATTTACATTTACACGTACACATACATATATTATATACACAGACACCGATTATCAGTAATATCGACGGAATGGTTGTCTTCAGACCTTTATCCTATTTTATAGGCATAGCATATTTTTCTAACGTATTGCAATATCAGAATAATCTTACCTAGTGAGAGCGATAGAATGATCGAGAGGAAGAGAAAGAGGAAGAGAGTGATTGAAGGAATGCGTATGGAAATATAAATGATTTATAGGAGAGGCGAGAGAAAGAGAGAGATTGAGAGAAAAAAAGAGCGAGAGAGAGGAAAAAAAGTTTATCAACGATGATCGCACGGCTGACTATATAAGGACGTAACATGATGCTTGTAATTATGATTGATATTAGTACGTTTAAGTTATTAAAAAAGTAATATCAACTTTAATATATATTATATGATAACAATTATCATTCTCTTTGAAATGCTTTAGACATTTAGATTTCACGTACGTAAAGAAAGTTACGCTTTTTCTCTCTTTTCCTCCTTATTCCTCAATTACGTCTCATCCTCTTTCTTCCCAGGTCTTTACGGACCCTTTTGACAGTTCTTGAAACATTTATAATTATAGCAGACTATTTATGTATATTTAAAAACAAAATATATATATAAATGCATCGCCCCTAAACGAAAGACGAAAATCGTTTTTTGTGTGTTCTCGACTATTTTATATAAGGTTCTTTAATTAGCACCTCATCGAATTATATTGTAGCCGTAATGTACAAAGAAAAAAAAGAGAGAAGAGAACCCCGAACATATTTGAACGAGATGCGACTTTATTTTCTCTGTAATGAAAATTTTTGCTGCCATAAACGGTTTATTTTTTATCATGTTGGATATTCGATGTTATCTTGACCGAAATTTGTACTGTTATGCGTATAATGATGTCTTTAAAAAATTTAATAATAAACGTGAATCGCATTATTTTTTTATGTTTTTTATACATTCTGTATGTAATGCAACATCCTGACTTTAACAATTTTATTAAGATACATTATTAAAAAGTTGCTATTAATGAGTAAGTTTATCGAAAAATATAATACAGTTAAAATAATAATACATAGAATAGAAATATATTTCTAAAATAGATATTTTACAATTATTATAAGAAAAAAGTGCCATGATGAGAAGGAAATAAAACGTGGAAAGAAGCAAACGCGATTTCTACATTAATAAAAATGTGGGAAATTAGATATTCGAAGAAAATGAATATTTTTATTTTTTTTTTTACTTGTTCTACATGTAAAATCGCATAAAATCGACTCTCGTAAACGCCTCTTTGATTGTATTTACAATTATTGTATGAAAATTAACACTCGCAGTGAACGGAAAGAATTTAAAGTAAAGTAAATAATAAGGCATTATGTGATAATGATTGTATATTTCAATGAGCAAAATGTGATGATGAATGGGCTTTTAAGCTTAATAAATGTAAATACATTCGTTTTTTTTTTATTCATAAAATTCGCATGAAGCATTCTCTATCAGAAATCGAGATATTTTAATGAATTTACATAACGATGTAATGTATTGTAACTTAATATTTGTAAGCATTCAGCGTAGATCGCCATTTTATTTTACAAGCTTAGCATCGCGATTGATCGAAGCATCGTGTTTCCATCATGCAAGTCAGTATTTCATAATCTTAAAAGCATATCCAAAAGACACAATCATTGCATGAAAACGCAAATGATATATGAAATGTTTAGCAGTGTTCAGCAAAGCCAATCATATTAAAGAACTTTACAACAATTGCAAAATTGCTTTTCCGCAACCATTCACGTTATATACATAATTGGTATACCATTGGGTCTTTTTTATTCCTGCAATTTAGAACTATTTTCTCACTTTTTTCACAAAAACAGATTTATTATTCCATTTCTAAGAACTTCTTGAATTTATATTGCATACGAAAATGTAAATAATATACACATATTAAGCTGGTTCTACATTAATTACTTTATTATTAGTTATTATTAATTATTATTAGTTTTATTATTAGTTACAAGTTTGTTGTGACAACATGAAACGTTGATTTCAAAATGCAAGCTTCAGATTGGTTGTCGCAACAATTTGTAAACGACTCGCAACTAAGTAGAACCGGCTTTCCAGTACTACATGTGCGATATTTTTTTCAACAATAAAGATGTGAGGAAATAATCAAGCCAAATAAAAAATAATTATATATTAATATTTATCCAGCAATAAAGATGCTTAAAAGGATGTTTACATACAAAATTAATTTATTTTAAGATTTTAAAAGACAATCAAATAAAAACGTAGAATTTGACATCGATCTTTTTCGATATAGCGATCGATACACTTATTGACTTGTATCTCATAATGTAAGAATATCAAGTGTTCCGTTGCGCATAATGGCGATAGCATATTGGAAACAACCAATCAAATTTTTGCTCAAATTGACTTTCTTGCGTATAAAGTCGGTTCTACAGTAATTGCAAGCTGATCGCAAGTTTATTACGCTGGCATATTGAAATAGCCAATTAAAATTTTGCTTAAATTTACGTTGCTACTACGCAACCACTGAAACGGAACATCTAGTATTCTTACATCATGTATCTCATTACTTCATATAGTTCATATTCAGGGCCACCAAACTGCCATGGTTTTTCCGTTATCACATTTGTGGCATCTGGCCCTCATGACACAGGAAATGAGGAACTAATATATGGCTGTCATCGTTTCCAGCACCTTCCGATCGGAATTTTTAGCGCCATATTTATTACATGTTGCTTGATGTCTGCTAGTGTAGTAGTATCACTATTGAAATACAGTAGTGTCACTGCTGATGTGCTGATATGAGCTAATACTATTCGACCCGTATTCAGAACGCGCTTTTATTAATAAAATCGCGCTTTTATATCTAAAATTCTATAATATACGTAACGTAAATTATATCATGTTATCGCGTTAACATCATTTGTAGTTCAATTCATTTCAATCTATTCTCGTTTGCTGGACAATGCTACTATTCGTTCCAGCAATAACACTTGTACATTGCACTACTACGTTATTGTACTAGTAGTGTCACAACTCATCCTAGTAGTGATACTACTAGTAACACTAAGGGGCTCCGCACAATAAAAGGAACAGAGAATAAAGAACAGAGAATAAGAATTTCAAATCATGCATTGTGGAATACACAGTTTCTGATAGGTTGAAATTCTTATTCTCTATTCTCTGTTCTCTGTTCCTTTTATTGTGCGGAGCCTCTGACGCGAATTTATATTACACTTCTACACTATTAGTCACAAGGGCCCGTATTTATTACAGAATGCACTTTATCTCTAAAATTCTATGGTATGCGTGACGTAAATTATAGCATATTAGCGCGCTGAATACAGGCCAGAATGATAATTACAAGCATTTAAAGCGCGTGAGTGTCCATGAACGCAGTCATATGCTTATATAGTGCCGGAAACGATGATTTCCATATGACAGCCATATTAAATTATATTAGTTCTTCATTTCCTGTGTAGCTATGAAGTCGCCACAAATGCTGATAACGCTCGGAACACGAGAGATTGGAATTCCATCATTATCTACCGACGTGAGCGGACGTGTTATTGAATCATTATTTTTGGAAAGTGAGACCGGCTTCAAACGCGCAACTGAGTTTGTATTACTATTTTAGACTTTCGTATTCTTCATATTGTTTTTTGTTACTCACATAAGTGCCGCGGATACTCAATGGCTCAGTTGCAACCTATCTGGTTGCGGAGCCAATAAAAAGAAGAAGAAGAAGTACAAGCTGCGTCGCATGTTGTATGAAATGTCGCAAAAGTATCGCATATAGGGTATGGTCAACGTGATGTTGCAAATGCTTTGAAGCGTTTTTTAATTGATCAGTTTAAAAACTCGTTTTTTTCGATTTTGCAAAAAATACAAAGGTTGTTTGTTTTATTCGTCTACAGAAATGAAATCATGCGATGAATTCCGCTCAAAATTTGACAGTAATCAGCTGAAAGATGCTACTTGTTAAAAAGTAATATGATATGATACTACGAGTGCCCTCTGACAGATTTTTCTAAGAACTTATTGACTTGCCCTCGTAGCATTCGAGATATACTGTAGGAAAGTAATCATTGACTCGTATATAATGATCGTACATATATTGGGTCATCTAAAAAGTATCCGCAGTTTTTTGTCACTAGATGGTGTTGATGGTCAACCCATTGTGGCTATTGGATCGCGTGCTACGCAATATGGCGCCGGTGGTTACCAACCACGGCGAAGGACGTATGGCGGGAAAAAGTTAGGTTGAGAATGAGAGCTACGCACTGCTTCTGATTTTATGCCATGAGGCGTTTTAATACACACTTAATGCCTAATTAACTAAATACTGAATACAAATGTTGATTAGAAAGTAGAGACGTGATTGCGCGTGTAAGTCGGCTCGGATACCGGCATCGTGTCGCGGAGTTACAATACTAGAACTATGAAAATACACTCTAAGAATGTCGGCGCCCGTGTCCATTCTGAATCGACGGAGACCAGCCAGGAAGGCGTCGGTGGTGTAAGCTGAAACAGCCTCAAGGTGAACGGCCTTGGAGTTAAACCAAACAAAAACTGCGATGAATGCTTTGTGAGCGCTGTGCCCCCGCCCTTTCCTTGTCCTGATGAAAATAGGCCCGACGTAGTCGATGCCCACGTGAAGAAATGGGCGTGCAGGAGTCCCTCTCCCTGGAGGAAGGTTCCCCATTTTCGGTTGCGGAGTGGCAGCCTCCACCGAGTGCATCTCACGCATTGATGCAGCCATCGCTTGACCACCTCTCGGCCTTGTGGAATCCAGGACCGGAGGCGCAACAA